ATATACATATATGTATATATATATATATATATATATATATATATATATATATATATATATATATATATATATATATATATATATATATATATATATATATATATCCCGGTGCGAAGTCGGCTAGCGAATAGCTAGCTATAATCGTTACGATAAAGACAGCGATTTGGCCACGAGGATCGCTAGCTTTTTTAAGTTAGCGAAAAGCTATCGATTTTTGTAAAGATAAAGACAGCGATTTGGCAACGAGGACAGCTAGCTTAACAAGCTGAAGATCCACTGGCTATAGTACCTAGCGTCATATCGTAATAAAACCGTTGTCTAAAAATTTTTGATATGTAGCTATCAACCAGGTATAGATTTGTAGATATTTTGTAGCTAGCTACAAAGCTACGATATGTAGCTAGCGACACATTGCTACAAAATCGCAATGTTTAAAGTTCAATTATTTTCATAGTTATAATAGACTCAACACTAAAAATCGAATTTTTAAAGATGTTAAAGACATTTGCAAAAAATAAAATAAGAAAAAAAAAATCGCTAGAAAATCGCTATAGAGCTAGCTAGTCGCTAGCTAGTCGCTAGCTCATTTCCCACCGGGATATATATATATATATATATATATATATATATATATATATATATATATATATATATATATATATATATATATATATATATATATATATATATATATATATATATATATATATATATATATATATATATATATATATATATATATATATATATATATATATATATATATATATATATATATATATATATATATATATATATATATATATATATATATATATATATATATATACCAAAATTAATACAAAAGTTGCCTTGGCTATTTGGTTTATAAATTAGACATAAGACTTGTCTAAATTATTTAACGAAGTGCACCAACGAAAAGGTAAGCCATAGGACTTTGCACTCCATTTCTAAAATGATAGACATTTTAACTATAATGATCATTATAATTGCAATGCAATACCATTATATATTACTCATGTAAAATAATATTAAATATTACTTGCCATGAAAGTTATGCACTCACTTGTAAATTCTATATCTTCTGGAAAAGTGTTTCTCACAAAAATAAACATTTCCTTTGGTTATTCTTTCTTTTAATAATCCATCTAATAGATTATTACCTTTTCCTCCAAATGGTATGATATTCATCTTTTCCTTGTGTTTATTTGCATCAGAGACTGTGCACTGTGGAAGACAGCAATTTCTACCTGGCATTGCTTTTTTTTTACAAGTACGATTACTTTAGTTCTAATGTAGTTCTAAAAAGTACTGTTTAATTAAAATTTAAGTGAAAATTCCTTGAAATGTCTTTTAACATTCACTAACTGGAATTGCCTTGAATATTTTAGTTATATGTAGTTCTACAAAGGACTGTTTAAATAAATTATAAATAAATTATAATTAAAGATTCTTTGATATATCTTTTAAAATTCACTTCAACGGCTGATTTGTTTTGCAACTACATTGATCACGTGACCGAAAAATAATAAAACAATAGCTTCAACAAATAGCTTCAACAAATAGCTTCAACAAATAGCAAATAGCTTCAACAAATAGCTTCAACAATTAGCTTCCAGACCAGGGTATATTTCTATAGACTATGATTTAACGATCAACTTGTTTAACGCAGTCAAGTGTTCTTCAACTGAGAATTTATTTTAAAACCTGGCACTCTAATAATAAATAGAAAAGATTTTATAGATTTGAATCTTAAAAAAAAAAATACTACATTATAAAACTAAATTCCCTCCCTCCGCCTGAAACAAATCATCGCTAACCCTACTCACTCTCTCCACCTTATTGCGTGACAATTTGTGGACGACACCTCAGCTAGTCACCAACATTGTTCTTTCAGACTATATCATTTAAATATAAGAAAAACTAATAAAAAATTTAAATTTTAATAATAATAGAATTGCCAAGCGGATGTTTCAACATCCGCTTGGCAATTCAACTATTATTAAAATATTAAGAGTATTATTCTAGTTATGGAGCTTAAAAGAACATTTTTTTAAAACTTGGATGGAAGAGAATGTTTCGAAAACACTAAACCAATTAAGTGTGGAAAACATTCTATCTAGTTGCTAGTACTTAAGGCTAAAAACTTTGAAAACCGAGTTGTTTTACAGGTTGTAATTTTATGTGACTTTAATATAGTGTATTTTACCTGTAATTTCATCTAGTGGGTGGAAAAAAGAAAATATATATAATAAAAAAGAAGTAGCTAATGGTTTTAGTTTTTAGATTTTGTAGAATTTAGTAAGAAAAATTCCATGTTTTGATGTTGCACTGAGCGTTACTCGGCAAAATCACCCTACTAAAATAAATATGCTTTATTAGGTCTTTTTATTTTTTTTTGTAAGAAGATATATATATATATATATATATATATATATATATATATATATATATATATATATATATATATATATATATATATATATACATATATATATATATATATATATATATATATATATATATATATATATATATATATATATATATATATATATATGTATATATATATATATATATATATATATATATATATATATATATATATATATTTTGCCTTTGTGACCAAAGTGGTTAGCGTGCTAAGCTACTGAAGTCCATCGAGGGGTTCAAACTTTTTCCCTCGCACATTTAATCATTTTTTTAATCTTTTTCAATTTTCTAAAATACAAAATAAAACATTTTTAAAGTTCTACAGATATTATATACATATCAAATATAAAAACTTTAAATTTCTATAAAAAGTAAAATAGTGGAAATATCTTTTTGCGTTTATGTCACGATAGAGATACTTATTAGGGTGTGTCATACTTTTTTTTTTCGAATTTTGACTGGCATAATTTAAAAAAGAGAGAGGTATAATATTACAAGTTTAGAACCGTCAACAAAAAAAAAAAAAAGTTTTAGCTACCAGGGAACCAGAGACATTATTTTACCAAAAACCCTTGGGGAGGGGAGGTATGAACTTTAAAAATTGAAGTATTTTTTAAAAAAAAACTTACAAAACGCAAAAAAACGTCATCTCTATTTAAAAAAAAATAAAATTATTTGTATAAAAATAACTAGAGTGGTTTGCCCCACTCCCACTACCTCCCGCTAAAACTGTAAAATTAGGTTGTTTTGGAATTAAAAATAAAACTTTCATATAGATCCACAAAACATCTGGCACATTAGAATAAAGTACAATAAAGATTAATTCTTAAACATTGTCAAGCCAATAAGGTTTTGTTTAGATAGATTTCGTGACATCAACTTCTGTGACAACTCTTGTCCTTTAATCCAACCATCTCTTCTATCTTCTGTAAAAACATTTTCGCAAGCCTGGTTAACTTTTTTTACACATCTTTCGACAGCTTGAGTGTGGCAACACCAATTTTGTACAATCATTGGTTTGAAAAAAATACTCTCCGATGTCTCCAGTCGTTACGCAACAAGTCAAAGGTGATTCAAAAGCTTCATTCCAATCAATAAGATCCTTGAGAAAAATTGCTTTAGTATTGATATCTGGTGTCCTTCTTGGTCTGACAGATAGACTCAAGTTGTACATTTTCATCACCTTCTCTTCTTATTTCAAGAATTTTGTTTACACTGAAATCTATGTCCTCTTTATTTTCAGAACAAAGCATAGTTTGAAGAATAGATTCAGAGAAGGCATACCAAGCAGATCGCTTAATAGTTGGAATGACCATATTTTGAATACCTAGTGACTGGTGTTGAAGCAACTTAAGCTGGTAAAAAACAAGTTTTGGTCCTTCTGTTCAACTATATTTAACTTTGATTTTAAACCAGACAGTAAAGTACACTCCTACAATAAACTCGACTAGTTTAAGAAGGTTTTGGGCTGCATCGCCTTGAAGACCATGATGAGATACCCAAATTCTACATACTCTATTGGCTGTTGTTAGCCATCTGGCCATGTTAACAGGGCCAATTTCCAGAAGTCCTAGTTGCTGAGGAACATGACCACTGCGTATAGCTTTAACTATTTGATAGCCAAAACACTGATCTGTTGAAAGGTCTTTAACCACATCATTACTCAAGTCAATTAGAGACTCACCAGTTTCCACTTTAATAAAAAAAGGTTAATTTCAAGGTTGGTTGCTTCATCAAGTAAGCTTCCAATAGGTCCACTCCATTTTGTACCGCTTTTAGATTCTCCGTCTAACAATTTGATTAAACGTTTGAGTAGTAATTCATTGGTATGTAGAGCGCAGAAAATCCAATTTAACTTTCGCCCTAATTTCCCCCAGTGTTTACATCGGTAGAGTCTCCGCCAATTGCTTTTAAGTAAGTACTAATGTTTCTCATTGCAGTATACTCAATAATCATATCTGCTATAATTTCAGCATGGTTCATTTTTGCTTCTTTAGCTGGAGTGAAATGAAATAAATTCTTACCATCACCAGAACAAACAGTGTAATGTTCTTCTTTAACTTTAGCCGGATACTGTCTGTCTGATCCAACTACAGTTAAAAATACTTTAGTAAGATCTTTTCGCCCATCAAAAAATATGCAGTCAATAATCTCTTTATCACGATAATTATCAAACTGAACAGCAACATCATTCATGACTTTATACCTAGCTCTCCGAACTTTACTGTGATCTATTATTAATCTAGTGTCACTTTGGGATACAGTCCTCCATCTACCCATGCTGCAGTAGCTATGGCTGCGGTTGCTCTTAAACCAACACCATATTATATACTGGCCAATGCAATATTAGAGATATCTTCATAATTTCTAGATTTTTTTAAATATTTTGTACAATGCTTTTAAATAGAAAAAATCTCATTTTCATTAGATTTCTCTTCATAATTTTCATGTTCATTATCTTGTTCATATTGCGTATTATTTTCTTTTTGATTAGTGTGTTTTTTTTCTCTCATTTGTTTTTCTTCTTCTCTTCTTTATTTGCAACTTTGTACTTTTTTGAACTTTTTGACTCCATCAAATCAGCAGGCCCAAGTTGATATGAACTTAAAGATCCAATCTTTTCTCGTTGGGCTAAAAAAAATGTGACAACAATTTGCTTACAACCAGACAAATTAAAATAAAATTTTCTTTTTAAAATAATCAAAGAAATCAGTATAGTATAATAAAATTTAGTTTTCTGCTTTACTAACACTTTTATTGTGACTTTCATATATTCACTCATACCTTTTATATAAACCAGTTCATTTATTGGTATTTTTCTCTCCCTAGGACATATGCAGGTAATGTGGGCACCAACTTTACAGTCAGGAGAACAGCATTGCTCAGAACAAAAAGATCTTTTACAGTTACATCCCACCAAATCAAATCAGTTTTTCAATAACTAAATTAAACTTTTGTTTTATAAATTTACTTGCTCTATTTTGAGAAATCAAGTTAGCTTTGTTCCATGCAACTTTAAGTCTTGTTACCAAATTATGTTTTAAACTAATTACCGGGGGCACAAATAAACAACTGGCCATTTGCCATTTTTCTGAAAATTTATTATAAATATCCTGGATCAAATCAGAATTACTATAGTTTCTTCTGTTTAGTTTGCTTGTTTCTCTTAAAAAAATACCATATCTAAGGACATCTCTCAGTGTTGGCAGTTCAGCTGTTGGCTACTCTTTTCCAGATCCAAAATATTGACGTAGACAAGAATCATTTTTCCATCTTGTTCCAGCAGCTATTTTAAATTTAATTATAATTTGTATCTAGTAATTTTGAAAGTTAGAAATATGTATATAAATAATAAATACATATATGTATATATATATATATATATATATATATATATATATATATATATATATATATATATATATATATATATATATATATTTAGCACTTTTGGTATCTAATTTCTGTTTTTCCGATTTTTTTTAGCGGATTCCCGTCTCATTTTTTTGAGTAGGATTAGGCAAACGATTTTATGTTGGGTTTTTTTCAGAAACATATACACACATAGTATATTTTCAGAAAGAAGAAGAGTTAGGCTTGTTTTTTATGTTATTTTTTTATATGATTGTTAACCTTTTTTTTGACTATTTTGCTCATGAAAATTATGTTGATGTTTACTTGTCAAATTATTGTTAAAGGAATCTATATTTCGCTTTTTGATTTTTTAAATAAGATTCTACATGCATTTCCTTTGCACCTGCCAAATTTCATGAAAAAATAATATTTTGCAATTAGTTAATTGAGTTAAACACTTTTGGTACCTAATTTCTGTTTTCAAAAATAGCCGAGGTGGGGCTGAGGGGAGAGAGATATTTTTTGGTTAATTACATCCTTTTCACAAATAGTAAGTTTAAAGAATCTTTCTAAAATTTTAAAGCTTGATGAACTTATCTACTTATCAAACTGTGTACTTGTATGGGACATTGTCTACAATAATATGCCCAGCTGCTTCACTAGCTATTTTAAATTCACAAATGATATTCATAGTTATAATCTTAGGTCTGTATCTTATTGTTGTTTCTCTAAGCCTTTAAAACTAACACATAAGTATGGCATAAAATCAATCAAGTATAAATCAATTCACTGTTGGAACTCTCTTTCTGTCGAAACTAAAAAAATATTATCCAAAATGACAAATAGAAATGCCTTCATAACCCATGTAAAAAAGTTTCTCCTCAATAAAGATAATCAATGAACTATCATTTATGTAATCACCTCCTAGTTATTCTCTATAACTAAGGTTTTAATAAAATAAAAGTATAAAACTCACAAATAAATATATAAAACCGATAAAATAGAAATGAAAATACAAAACTCATAAAATAAAAATAGAAATATAAAGTTCTAAAAATAAATATACAAAACTCTAAAAGTAATACATGAAAATATATAAACGTCATCTAGTCGCAATCAAATACCCTAATCTTTATCATACTATATAGTGTATATGGCTCTAAAAGATTGTGTTATTGTTATTAAACCATCTAACGTGTAATAAATATACAATAAACTATTTCCGATGCAATCGCCCCTGCTTAATTCTCTTCAACCATTTTTTTTTTTTTTCCTAATTTTATTTATTTTACTTTAATGCATATTCAATATTTCTATCTTCTTCTAAAGTTCTATGATTAAAAATTCTGTTTCACAAAGAACTTCTCCTACTTCGTCTCTTTTTTCCTAGTCGTTAAACTATCCATTTTTTTCTACTTTTTATCTGTTCTATTTTTTGTTATTGATATTATTATGATTGTTATATTTTTATTTTGCATTATTATTAATGATAATCACGGTTTGCTACAAATGTTTTATTTTGGTTTGTTATTATTTATACCATTATAAGTCTTTACACGTCATCAGTTTATAACTGTGTGTAAATGTCCCGCACGATTGTATATATATACAGTATTATTAAAGTAAAATATACTGATTTGATTTGATTTGATAAAAACTAATTATTAATCAGCAGTGTTTTGATTTTCCTAAAAAAATGCGCTCGCTTTGTAAGCGAGAGGTTCGGAGTTTGACTCTCACCACGTCTCTAATGTATAAATTGAATAAATTTAACAATCATAAAGAAATATTATAAAAATATTTCTTTATGATTGTTCTTCGTTTTTGAAAAACTTTAATGCTTATTTATATTTTATAAAAGTATTTTATTTTAAATAAGGAAATTCTAAATAAAAGTTTTTAATTTTTTTTTTGTAAGAGTTAATATAAAATGTTTCATAATGCTTTCAAATCTTAACTATCAGTGAAAAGATGAATTTATACAAACACTATCTGATGTCTGAAAGAATTGTTGGCAGAAAACTCTGTCATGAATGATATGATACTGACTCATCAAAGTCTATCATTTATGATGGTAGACTAGAAATTGTAAGCAAGAGACAAAATGATAGAATTTACACTATTTCTTACTGGAAACAAGATAAAGCTGATATTGAAGCTGTTGAGCATAAGATAAAAAAAATCCAACTAGCTGCTGATGTTGTATTAGATTAGATAAAATTTTCTTAGTTTGAATATGAAATAATCTAAAAATGCTTGAAAAAAAAGTTGTGCAAGTTTTGTAGCTTGCAAACAAGTACTTGCCTGCATAGACGGCTTCTGGCGAATGCATATTTTAATGTTTTAAAGCAGATAAAAAATTATCATTGTTTAACCATGGGCAGGAACGGTTGAATGACTTGCTATGCTGAATATAAATTGCGATTTTGTACGAAAACTGGATTTTTCATATATTAATGCTGCATTTTCAGAATAAAAAGCAAGAACGGCGTTTGTAAACATTAAATAAAATTAAGTCATTCTGTTTTAATTACATTAAGTGAATTTTTTTAAATTTCATTTTCAAAATGTGACCATAATTTAACTATAAATTTATAGTGATTTGCAAATAATTACCTAATGAAAAAAACAATAAATAAAAATCAATGAATAATTGTTTATGTATGAATCATACATTTGTGAAATCTGAATTGTAACATTCACAATAAAGTAACAGTGTAACACTCCACTCGTACGGTCGTGTTAGTTAGAAGAGTAGCGCATTTCTTGGCTAGTGGGCTTGATAAAAAGTACAAAAAACGCAACATCTGTGAGTGACGGTCTGTCTAATTTATTGCATTTATTCTGAAAGTTACACATTTATCTGGTCCTGAATTATCTGTAGACTTGAATGGCTTTGCATTAACTTACGTCGCGTTTTGCACAAATATTGCGCAAATCTTCCTTTTGGGGCCTCTGATTTATAACTGGCCCAAACCTCTCCAAATCTCTGAAAAGGACATATATATATATATATATAAATATATATATATATATATATATATATATATATATATATATATATATATATATATATATATATACATGTATATATATATATATATATATATATATATACATGTATATATATATCTATATATATATATATATACATATATATATGTATATATATATAAATATATATTATTTATTTATATATACATATATTTATTTTATATATATATACATATATATATATGTATATATATATAAATATTTTATTTAAATTACAAAAATGCTAGTAAAAAGTTCACTCATGACCACTTTAAAGTTAAGTATATACCTAAAAGTACTATCTACAAGATAATTAAACGTGCTAAAAGTGAATCTGGGTATCAAAGAGTTCAAGGAAGTGGAGTAAAAGTTAAAAAAAATGACCTGGACAAACATTGAAAGGCTCACACTCATGTTTTACCATAAAGACAGAGTTCCTCAATGACAGGCAGCTAAAAAGTTCAACTGTACTCAGCAACACATTATTCATCATTTTTTTTCATCGGTATTAAATCAAGAAAAAAAAATGATGACTCCAAAACGCTCTGATTGTGTCAGAAATTCAAAAATCAAAAAAACCAATCATTGACGATGAGTCTTAATTCACGTTAAATCACTCCAGTATCAATGGAAATGATATATTTTATACTAGTGATGTAAAATCTACTCCATCTACAGTTAAATACCAAACAAAAAAAAGTTAAAAAATAAATAACTTTTATGTATTGCTTTTTCTGAAAATGGAATTTCTCAATCTTATTTTGTACCAAGTTGACTGGCTGTAAATCAAAAAATCTATTTAAACAAATGTATTAAGAAGAGACTTATTTCATTTATCAATAAATATCATTTAGATGGTGCATTTGTATTCTTGCCAGATTTAGCATCATCTTACTATGCAAAAACTGTAATCATGTACCTTAACAAGGAAAACATACATTATGTTGAAAAAGCGGTAAGAGTTGAGTTTACCCCGCAATCTTGCCAGAATTTCGTCTTATCGGAAATTTTTGGAGTATTTTGAAAGACCTTGTCTACAAGAGTAATTGGCATGAAGAATATCTTAAAATCTACGTTCTAGAATCAAATATATATATATATATATATATATATATATATATATATATATATATATATATATATATATATATATATATATATATATATATATATATATATATATATATATATATGTATGGTAATCCTACAGCTGAGCGGCGCAAAATAATTTTATTTTTTCGCTTGTTGCGCTCTCGTCAGTAGAGGCTTTATAAACAATAGGAATATTAATTAAAATAATAAAAGAAAAAAGATAGCTACCCCATGCCAAACCCTCAGTCGAAGTAACAGCATTTCCTTGTAGCAGCAGGCTATATTATAGTCGATGTGCAAACACTCCCTCTTGCAACAAGCAAAAAATTAAAATTATTTTAGAATGCTTAACTGTAGCTTTACCATGATGAAAAATGAACGCGCATATTTGTTGATTTTTGGTTTGTGATATGTTATATCACAAACCAAAAATCATGTTTGTGATATACTCTGATTTTTGGAATCAGAGTAATTTTAACAAAAGTTTAAGACCAGGGATTTCTAGCATACGAGAGGTTGATAATATCCACAGTCAAATTGATAAAGCACTTGCTCCTGTTGAAATATTTAGTCCCCTTGGTTTGATCAGAGCTATTCCTGCTCTTAAAAAAAAAAAAATTTTCTGCCTACCAAATGATGAAATTGAATTTCAAACATTTTTTAGCTTTTGCAGGCTTTTATAACTTTAATCACTAAGCGTAATTTAATAACTAAATGAGCAGCCGTGGCGCAGTGGTTAGAGTTCTGGCTCAGAACCCAGAGGTCCGAGGTTCGATGCCAGCTCCAGCCCAACATGCGACATTGGTACGGAAGGAGGCGTGAACTACTTGTTAAATGCTCACCCGCGGTGCTCTATGATAAGACCGTAAGGACTTCTGGGAGCACCTAAATACATACCAAAAAAAAAAAAAAAAAAAAAAAAAAATCTTGTTCCCTATATCTAAATAAAGCATCTTGCATTCAGATCATGTATGCTACAGAAAATCATGTTTTAATCTTTCTTCAAAAGCATAAGTTAACAATCTACAATCTTATTCATGGCAGAGTTTCAAATGATAAAGCCAATCATCGGCTTCATCATTTGAAATTTGAACACCCATATTCAAAGCAGAAAACATTAGTACCTCTGCCATTAGCCCAATGTCCTCCAAATTCCATTGAAGTATATGCCTGCTGTAAATATTGCATATTTATAAGAGGATTTTAAAATGATTTATTGTATTGTCAAAATATATATGTTTTATATGTTACGTTGTTAAATGGGTTTCTTACTGAAATGTTATATTTTTAATGGCCTTACCAGAGGTGCTGGATAACTAATTATTCTTTAAGATATCTTTTTATTGTGCAAGGTATTTTAGATGTTATACTTTTAGAAATTATAACTAAAGTTTTATTTTGTTGCGAAGATCTTGGTACGTACTTTAGATTATATATTATTTATCTGCTCTGTTGAATTGAATTTTAGACAAAATAGCGTGTTTATATTATTTCTTCACTAGGGTAAAATAAGATTTTTTTTCTTATAAAACAGGTATGTACCTTACAGTACTTTAATTGCCAAAATATATAATCATCTTGCCACAATATATTTAAAAAATAATTGTTTGTGTTATATTTTTTAACAGAAAATGGAGATAGAACAAAATAACACTGTATTTTATAAAATAAGAGTGTGTTACATTGCTCTATCTCAAATCAGGGTGTATTAAATTAGACACCTTCACTTTAAATATTTTAATACAAATTCTTTAAAACTGTGGTAGCCTATTTAGGAAATTAATGCAAATTGGTTTTGTTTGAGTTTTTTATGTTATTTGGTCTGCAGGTCAAAGCTTAAGCTTGATTTTCTCGGTTCGGAAAAACATGGAGATAAAACAAAATAATTCTAACCTCGCGATATGTTGTTATAGAGATACTTATGTCCTCAAAAATTTTATGGTCTTAAACTTAATAAAAAAAATTAGTTAGCCCGTCATGGTGCTGCTGTAAAGGCAAAAAAAAAAAAATAATAATAAAAAAATAATTATAAACAAATAACCCGAAACTATTGAAATTATGCATGTAAGAGATTTTATAAATCTTATATAAGCTCTGCATTTTATTAATCTCTTATAAGCTCTACGCATGCGAAAAAGATGCGTATTTTAATTTTGTTTTGCTTTTAAAGTAGTTTTATTTAATGAATTATTTTTGTACTGTTTACTAAAAAATATTTCAGTAATAAGAAATAAGTATAAAAATGATTGGTGTGGAATAGATAAGTATAAAAATAGTCGGTTTGTTGTAGACCCGTATTTTTACGGGACCAGTCAGCTAGTCTTTTTTTTTTTTTGTGATAAAGAATAGTAACAACAAAAAATTTAGATTTTTTTATTTTCACATTAGGATGCTTTTTCATAATATATGCATTGATTCAGTTTTGATAATGTCTTTAACAATTTTTTTTTTATATATAAAACTTGATTTTTCTTGTATCAGGCTTTCCTCTCAGATTTCTTTGTTATTTTTTTTTAAACATAGCATTTTTAAGCATTGATCAATTCTTTAATTGGCAAAATTAAAAACTTATGAGTTTGAGCTTATGTATTTCAGAAACTAATAATATATGAATATATTACATTTATATATTTTCATGAGAAAATGCTACACCAGGCACTTCCATGCTGAAAGAAAAGACACTCGTGTGTCCGATTGTTCACCTATATTGAATTTCAATTTGTAAACTCTATCGTTGAATAAATTGACTGATTCAGCACTTATGGCGTCTAAATGTAGCGTATTCCATATATTAGCAATGCAGTTAGTGAAAAAATTAAATCGATATTTGCATTTTTTTACCCTTTAACGATCAAGTTGAATATAAGGTCCACGCAAATCGTATTTGGAAATTGATGGTGCGTAGACTTGAGGGTTCTCAAAAATGATTTTATAAATACCTTTTGAAGGTTTAAACTATTGAATCATATTACCTCGAATTCTCTTTTTTCTAAGTGTAGTTAAGCCAAGAAAACAGAGTCTTTCTTCATATGGCAAGTAGTTTAATTCCGTAATTATATTAGTGACTTTATGCTGTACTTGCTCTAGAATAGCAATGTCTTCTTCCTTGTGTGGTGACCAAGCCTGGATAGCAAACTCTAAATTGGGTCTTATAAAGGCTTCATTGAAAGTTAAAATTTCCTTTTTCTATTTCTTTGTAAAAACATTTTTTTCATATGATTAAGCAATATCTTATTTTCTATCTTTTGATTTTTATGCAAAGTTTTTACTTTTTATGCAAACTTGAAGTGATTTTTTATGCAAAAGTTTTACTTTCTATGCAAACTTGAAGTGATTTAGACTGAAAGAAAAAAGCAAATTTTTATTCTTTTATTTTTTTACGTTTTTATTTCTTCACTCTAAGATTTCAACTACAAGTAAAAAAAAATTGAAACCTATTTTTATTTCACCATTTTATTGCACAAAGAAAGAACATAAAATTAAACTATTATTATTCTATGTTTTTTCTTTTTATCTTTTTAAAATGTCAAACTTTTCTATTAACTTTAATGCGAATCGATATCATTAATTTTAAAGTCTTTAGTGAAAAAAATATGGGCTAAAATATTTGCTTTGCAGTTTGTTGACAATTTTTAGTTGCCTAGCATTTTTAGCTCTACAAATAAAAAACAATGCAGAAAACCTCATTTCTATCTATACTAATAAAATTGGCATTTCAACTAAATTTTTACACATTCTAACTTTATATTTTTAAAATTTTTGCAACTGTAAGAAGATAAAAAGATATTAAAAATATTGGTTTAAAAGATATTGATAATATTCAAAGTTATAACTTAAAAAATTGTTTACCAGAAAAAAAAAGGAAATAATCTCATATTATTTTACATATAATTTGTTTTCAATAATAAAGTCTATTGTTAAAGTCTATTGTTAAAAAAAGTAAAAATAAACTACATTACTTGAATAGCTTTTTTTGTTTAGGGAAATGTATAAATTTGAACAAATGGACTATGGCTATCTAAAAAATCTCCGATGTATATTGGATTTTGTCTGACTAAGGTGAAATTATTTTCATCTAAGTAGCTTTTAAAACTATGATTGTTCTTGCGGGCTTCATCCATAAAACCATTGGCAATACTCTGAGAGAACCGTACAGCTTTTGAGTTATGAGGAATAGCAATCGTCGGAGCCCATTCAAACAAAATTTTTTCAGGGTGGAATTGAACTCCGTAAAACGGCAATGTACGATCTACGGAATAAATCAAGCTCTATAAATTTATAAATCAAGCTTTATAAATTTATAATTAAATAAAAGTTTTATTAACTATTTTTTTTAATATTTTACTCTCATTAAAAATTTCTGTATTTGTTTGTGTTGCATACGTAAAGAAATCCATTTTATAAGTCAAGATTGAACTATGAGTATAAAATGAAAAAGTGAAATGAAAAAGTGAACTGAAACAAAAGTTGAAACGGTGAAATGATGCAATTTATTTGAATTAAAAGTAAGAAATGAAGCAAACGTAACTGACCTTGAATAATTGAAACAAATTCTTTTCCTTTTCTGTCTATACTTGTTGCAATTACATCAAAAGTTGTATTAATGCTTATTGTTGGTAAGAAACTATACTGGTGAAAATGTGAAGTAATGTTGTATAACTCAGTATCTTTTTTTATCAAATAAAATGAATTCCTAAATAATGGACTCTCCTTATGCCATTTTAAACTAGAAGTAAAATTTTGTGAGTCTGTAGGTACCATTAGTTCTTTTGAATGCTTAACTAATGCTTGCATTCCTCGACATATTCCAAGAATAGGAAAGTGTATCCCCTCATCATTTAACTTTGATGCCATTTCAGCTAACCTCTTAGTTAAATAATAATACTTAGAATCCACCAAATTCACGTTTCCTCCGGGAAACAGTAAGCCATTAATAGAGTTGAATATAGTGTTTAATTGATTATCTGAGAGATTTGGGGTTATTGCAACAGCCCTGGATCCTGCTAACTCAACAAACTTTACATATGAAGCAGCAATGTAGCTTTTACCTCGAAGCTCCGGTTTATGTTTTAATAGATTTTCATCAGTAATTTTCATCACAGGAATTCCAATTGAGAGTCTTTGTTCGTCATTTTCACTTTTACTAAATTTTATTAAAAAATTAAACAACAAAGAAACTAAACAAAAAAATATTTTCATTTTTTAAATAATAAACAAATTTGTTCAAACTAAGTCTGGCTCACTTTGAGGAATAATTTTCACACGCCATTGCGCATTTCAATCGCATTTAAATTTTTTAAAATTAATAGTAGAAGTAGAAAGAATTTTCTGCATAGTTTTTTTATAATCTCTTTTGGTTAATTTTTACCTCTTCAATTTTTATTTTTTTATTTTTTTTATAATTATTATTTATTTTAGGTGCCCCAAGAAGATCTTATGGTTTTATCACAGAGTACTGTGGAAGAGCATTTGAAAGGAAGTTCACACCTCCCTCCTTACCGACGTTATAAAACCCATAAATACCCAGAGGTGACGTAGACAAACATTTTAAATGCCTAGAGGTGACGTAGAACCACGGATCTGTAGCTTCCACTGCGCTACGGTTGCTCATTGTTTAAATATATATGTTATGTTTTTTTTAAATCTTATAAAAAAGTAACTAAAAATAATTAAATTATGAAACAAGCAGGCCCGTAGTAACCGGGTGGGCAGCAGGAGCAATTGCCCTCTTCCCCCCATAATTTTTCAAATGAATCATTTTGAAGAAGTTGACTGAAAAAATTGCTACAAAAAAAAAAAAAAAAAGGTCTTTATTATTATTATAGTTGTAGTCGTAAATTTACATTGAATGTACACATACAGCGAGCAGGGAAAACACCCCACTATAAACAACGAGTTTTATAAATATTTGCTCCAAACTTATTCCACAACCAGGAGTCTAGCCTATTTTTGAAGGAAAGTACAGTGGAGTACAAAGTTATTTGCTCTGGTAGTTCGTTCCAGTATTTTGCTGATCTATTATACAAATGATTTTATCTTGGAAGACAGTTTGAAACATACTCACGCCTTATTTTAGAATGGTGACCACGAGACATGGAGTTAATATATTTTGGTAGATATTTATCATTAACTATATCAAAACGATGTATTAATTTAAAAATTTGTATTAAATTGCATTGAAGGCGTCGAAACTCAAGTGATGGTAGATGTAATCTTTTTAGCCTTTCGCAGTATTGAAGATGCCTCAAGCTGTAAGCCCGTTTTGTTGCTTTGCGTTAAAATGATTCAACCAAAGCTATATCAGCTTTTAAATAAGGAGCCCAATGGACACTCCATATTTAAGATGTGGTCTTATAAATACTTTATATAATTTGAGAGCCATTTTTTCATCAATGAAAGTAAATGTCTTTTTCAGCATACC